AAAACTGTATCATATCACGAATCAGGAAAACACCAGTCAGATTAACTGATGATAAAAGCAGTGACTAGTTGCAGACCGACTAATATAAAGAATATAAACACCACACATGTTTGAATTGAGGTTTTCAGATATAGAGAGCTTAAGTGAATTTCTGCATGTGTGTGTGTGTTTATGTGTCGTCATGTGAAAGTTGTTCAGAAATTTGGTGAGAAGGAAGAATAGTAGTCTAGTGCCTGCTGGGATCGAGGTGAACATGTGAATGAGCACGGTATATGTATATGTATGTGTGTGTGTGAGCATCCATGCTGATGCTGATAAAATTGTAGTTTTGTCTCCCGACCTGGATAGTGGAGCCTTCCCTTTTGAAGGAAAACTGAACTAGGATGTGGAGCGCTGTTATGCATAACATGTCATTAGATCACAAATTGCTAAACTGGCATTAGCAAATGATGCTCTTAGCAATTAACCTTCTGCCTTTCTATATTACCACAAATACAGCTGAAAATTGTAAATAACTCAGAACACTCGTTAGACTCGTCTTGTTCTACTGTTTCGTTCACAAAGGTGCACTTATGAGTGGAGCCCAGATTGCAGTGATCAGTGACACGGGCAATCATGTGGCTCTCTTTATTCTCTCTCAGACCTTTTGGTGCCCTCGTCTGCCTTTCTCTCCGTCTTCCTCTCCATCTGTCTCTAACGCTATCACAAGTGGAGGGCTGTTCCTGTTGGTGTCATATGATGTCTTGTGGCCCTGTAGTGGTAGCAGAACAGTGACAGTTCTATCCCTGCGCCATCTAATCGACACACCGCTCGTTGTCACATGCACACACACTGTGATCATAAATCAGGTCACTGACAGTACCAGCCCTTAGCCATGTGTTCCTGCTTACGTCTTTAATGTACTGCTGAAAAGCTGCACTCACGTTTTGGTTTTTTTGACCTTTTTTTTGGTCACTTTCCACGACTCTTTATTATTGTTTAGCTTTGTTTACCTTTAATTATTCGAACAAGAACGTAAGATGATAGGAAAGCTTTATACGAGCAGAGAAAAAAAAAGTTGGGAATGACTAAACAGCTGATAGGATGAACTCTAGATGTGACTTTCATGTGACAACCTGAAAAGAATCAGTGTTTCACCAGCCAGCATCCTGCTCGGCAAAGAGACGCTCATCAAGCTCCTTCTGCTGGTGGAGATCATTTGTTTCTGTGGCACATGATCGCCGCCGCTGCCGTTCCACCTTTCACTTGTTGTCCTCTCCCTTTCTGCCCTAGTTTTTGTGCGAGCTGGTCTTTGTTGTTGTGATTTTCTGTCGTGAAAAGAAAAAAAAAAGCAACACAAAACAGAAAAATAATACAGCAGCAAAGCATCGTAATTATGACTCTTTGATGACTCCCTGTATTTGTTTTGTACTCTTTGTTGTTTGCTTCAACAGGTTTTCTCACTTTGCACAGAAAATAAAAAGCTGGGTACTTTGCCTCTCAAGAGCATAGAAAGGGGAATTGGTTCTCTTGAGACTGGCCTAACAACTCAGTGCTGTCGCACCCAATTTCTGGGCTATTTGACCCATTAGATGTCAGTGCTTGGGAAACAAACAGGCAGTGCTAAGAGGTTTGATGGGCTTAATAGTGTGGATTTAGTGATGGATGGTGCCATAGTTAAAGTACAAAGAGTCCAAGAATGTTTTAAATCTCACTTTCTGCACTCTTATTGGACTCTTTTACCCGACGTGCTCTATATGTTTTTCTTTAATAAAGACTGAAATATAATCAGAACGGAAATAATAGAATAGAAGCCAAAAATAAGTGAACAGTAAAAGAATTAATGCGGTGATGTAATATAATATTGATAAATATAGTTGCTTTGAATTTCTGGTTATAGTTGTTGCTCCTTTGTTCTGCGACTCTTCATTGTTGACACCTCCCTTCTGACTGCTCAGATTGCAAAATTGTACCCGAGACTGAGGTTGTGAGTACCTGGGGAGTAAGAATGTTGTGGCAGAGCTTTAGCCTCATGTGCACGCCAGTATTGATCCGTGCAAGCCTCAGTGACTGTTGCTACAGACCAGGCTTCGCTCATGGTACAGGACTCCCACCTGTCAGCAGTCGGTGGCAGCTAATGAGGAAAAGCAGCCCATCACACACTAGTACAGCACACACACACACACACACCCATCAGCTTCTGGGATAACACACTGCCACCAATTCTGCCCTCTCCTCCTGCCTCACCCAGGCACCCCCTTCTCCCTTTTTGCCCCCCCTGCCCCCCACCCCCTCTTTTTACTCTGCCTCTTTCTCTACCTCACTTTTCCTCTAATGAGTTGCAACACTGATAACGAGCCTGATGATCTTCCATTGATTCAGCTATCACTTGCTTGTCTGGTAATTGATCCGTAGCTGAGCCTCTAGTTAATTATATGGGCTTCGACATGGACCCCTGCCCCGGGGGGAATTCTCAAGTCCTGCACAATAATAGTTTTAATAAAGGAGCTTGAGGATCTCCAGTATCCCCTTTTTTCCCACCCTTTTCCTGCTTTCACAGATTTTTCATCTTTCTATTTCCTCTTGCCTCCTCTTTCCAGCCCTCCCTTCAAAATTTCTTCATCTCTGTATTTTTACTTCTGTCTCTCTCTCTGTTTTTTTTCTTTGTTTCCGCTGTCATCACGACCATTTACTATCAGCAGAAGCAAGGTGGAAGGGGTATGGTGGGGGTGGGGGGGGTAAAAAGAGGGGAAAGAAATGTGGAGGAAGAGTGAGCAATATCTGCAGAGTCCACTCCTCCCTCTCACAAATAACAGCCATTAACCAGCCAGGTCAGAAGCTGAGCCACCAGCTTGACTTGAAACACTGAGTGCCACTCGAAAAACCCACAGACTAGCACATTTACAGGAGAATGGGGTGGAGGGTTGGAGGGAACAGAAGGAGAGAGGAAGAGAAAAAAAACTGGAAAGCAAAAAGGAACCTTGGCGGCTAAATTGTCACTTAATATAATTAGCCTAAGCCTCGTGCATTACCTTTTCAATAAGTTGTTAAGAGCAGAGCTGGTGGAACATGGACAAGAGGTGACACATTATGCCTTTTACAACAATGCTTCTCGTGGCTACTGACAAGGCACGGGCCAGCATGCAAAAAGATGAATGAAGAAAAAAATTGAAAAGGAAGGGAGCAGCGGAAGGTATTTAGAGGTGGAGGGGGAAAAATGACGAGAGACTAAAAAGCAGAGGATGAAGATGTAGGCAGGCAGCAAGAAAGGAGCGAAGATGTAAATTGAGCTTGAGACAAAAGACACAATTGCACATTTTCAAAGTGGCAAGACACACACTGCACACTTTTCTCTCTGCTGGCAGAAATCACCTGTACATAACAGTAATGACCGGTGTGATAATCTCAGCAAAGGTTAACGGTGTACCACCATTAGTACATAGTACAAAAGGCTTTTAACAGACAACCAAGAAGCTGTCTGCCGCAATTTACCACAAAATTTGAAGTGACTTTATATATCACAAGCCATTTAATGTAGCTGAGGAGAGAAGTTCTGTCCGTGTCCCTTTCTCTTTTGTTCCTCGGCAATGAAAAAGATCACTGTGACATCTCCCTCTCGCTGCGGACTGAGGCACCTGGTCTGTCATTTCTCTAATGATAGTGGGGCGAAAAGACAGGGTGGAGAAGACAAGATGGGAGATTTAAAGTTTAAAAAAAAAGGGGGAAAGGAAAGGAGAAGGAAGGAGGGAGGGAGAGGGGTGTCTTCATTGTTTGAGATGTGTCCTATGCTGTGTCAAAGGAAGCATAGATCTTTTCCCTCTTTTTTTTTGTCTTATCCTCCTGTGTGTCTTTTTCTCTGTGTCTGCCTCCCTTTACTCCTCCATCCCTCATTTTATTCCCCTTACCTTTGCTGCTGTGGGGACCAATTTGGCTAAAATGGAACCTCTTCCTCATTTTTTTCTTAATTAAAATCTGAGAGCCTCCGCGGAGGAGGAGGAGGAGGAGGAGGAGAGGGGAGAGAGAGGAGGTGCCTGTGAGCATGTGTGTTCGTGTGCATGCTGGTGGCAGATTGCCTGCGTTCCATTAGTCTTTCATTAGAGTCGGTGAAAATCAAACAAAGGCACGAGAGTTTTAAAAGATGTATCAAGGCTGGCATATTTGCTTGTTTTAAAAATATATATATAGAGAGAGATATATATTTATAATTATCTAATGAAAAGAACACCGAAAATTGTTGATCAGCTGTGATAAAAAAAAAAAAAAAAAACAGTTTTTTTTGCAGAATACAAACCTGATTTTTCTTTCCTGAAACAAAGAAACTTGAAAACAGCAAACAGAAGTGGCTCTTTTTTCACATGCAAGGCAACAACTCAGCTCCTCTGCTTAG